GCTTTCACTTCCAGAGACAGTTGTAAGCACTGTGTAACTGCCTCGAGGGTGCTTGACCATTTTAACACAACGTGGTGCGATCATCCCCCTTGCGCGGAGTGAGGGTTCTCGGGGGGGTGGGGGGGGTGAGGGTAAATAGGGTTTTGCCAGTAGACACAACAAATGTCATTCCTGCAACAACACCAACTTCTTCCGTCACGCTCAATGGTAAACAATAATGATAGCCTGTTTTTGTCCTATCCGCGTGCATAGACTACACTGCCATGTCCCAATCGGAACAACACGCAACAGAGGACAGGCACGTTGACGACCAGCACCAACCTGAGTGTACTTGTCGATGAAAACGAGAGCGTTGGGCACGTCGCGGTCCCCCAGGTGCACCACGCTCAGGCCGACCCACGGGCCGCACGTCGACTGCACTATTCTCAGGATCCGTCGCATTTCCTGGCTCACCGAGGGGCACTGCTGGACCCTTTTGTTGACACCAGACCAGCGAAAAAGGTGATACTTAATAGGCAGCAGACCAAGCAAGCCAAGACATTGGTTCCGTCAGATGGTGATGATAACTCCGAACTGCCAATAACACACCGCCTCAGCGTCTTTCGCTCAGTACGCATAAGATACCACACACCCTCGACAAAAGAGCACGCAAAAGCTGAAGGATACATTTTCGGAAAGCTCTCGACGAGGCGGTGCCAACGCTGCCACTTCCGTTGCCACTACTGCTGTTTGTGCTGCAGAGTAATCGGGCTTTGAAAATCGGTCCAGGGGGGTAAACTATCTCACGCAACCTCCGGTGCCGCATTCGCCGGGTCGTGCTCAAGTGACGAGCCCACGCCCCTGCTTAAAGCAGGATGATGGCATCGTTTACGTCCTGCCTTGCCTCTTCCAACACCCACCAAAGCGAACAAACACGAAACAAGAACGGCAAACAGCGCTCGGCACATGCTGAACAGCTCAACACAGACGATGAGAAAGCCTACCTGTGGAGCCCTTGTCCCGTGTTCTGTAGCCGGTAGGAGGCCTTCCCTGAGAGCAAATCGCTATCCGCGAAGTACCACAGTCTGATAAACGGGAGGAGAGGAAAGGAGAGGAGAGGAAAGGAGAGGAGATGAGAGGAGAGGAGAGGAGAGGAGAGG